TTACCAACGAGTTTGTCAATTGGTGGACTTTCTACCAGGCGGAAATATCCGATGAGGATTTCAGCTCCATCATCAAAAGGGTGAAGACCAAGAACCTTTTTTCCTCCTAAAACCAAGAAGTCACCCGACTCTCATAAGGCCTCACAAAGAGGCAAAGACATCAGGTACTTACTTGTGTGATCTTTGTACTTTTATGATATCTGTTGTTCTTTTCTGCTGTTCTTTTCTGCCTTTCTCATCATCTTCTCTTATTGCACGGTCTAAATCTTCTCATAATACTCCTACCAAGGGCGCTAGTAAGAAGCGATCAGCTGCCTCTTCAGTTTCCAAAGAACAAAAAGGTGAGAAGCCTACCACATCCAAAACCAAGAAGTATCAAAAGGGTGAAGACCAAGAACCGTTTTCCTCCCAAAACCAAGAAGTCGCCCAACTCTCATAAGACCTCAAAAGGGGCAAGGACATCAGGTACTTACTTGTGTTATCCCTGTACTTGTATGATATCTGTTGTTCTTTTCCGCCTTTCTCATCACCTTCTCTTTTTGCAGGGTCTAAATCTTCTCGTAACACTCCTACCAAGGGCGCTAGTAAGAAGCGATAAGCCGCCTCGGCAGTTTCTAAAGAACAGAAAGGTGAGAAACCTGCCACATCCAAACCTGACACGTGGATCTGAGTGGAGTGTTTTAAAAATGAGGTGGCATCATAGTTCTTTGCAATATTTTGGGAGGCAAGGGGAGCACACATCTCTCTGGCACGGGGAAGTCACACCATCAAGCCACCGCAACCCACCACCGCCTCCATCCACCGCAGTCCATGGACGTAAACGCCGACGCCACCAAACTTGACCGTATCATTTATCCCCTCACTAATGTCGGCCACCACCGGGCCCATCATCTATTTCTGTTTTTCTCAGACTTGTGACCCCAATCAAGTTAAGTTTGACTTTCAATCTTGGCTGCACAGCCTCGATTCGCGCTCAGAGACCTCAGTTCGAATACGCGAGACCCTGATTAAAATGAAAGTGAACGAGTCTTTGTAACGGAGTGATGAGTCTTTGACAACGGGCGGTGGGTTTAGACGGTGAACCTATGCAGCGGCAGTCTCTGCAAGTGTACGTAAAGGAGGAAGGGTGGAAGAAGAAGAAGAAGAAGAAAAATAGGAAAAGAATAAAATGAAAGTGAAAACACGTGAGATGGAAAAAGGAAACAAGAAATGAGATGACGATCCATGTCTGTCGGCGGCGTCCCAAGTCAGCCAAAAGCATTTCTTTGACAAGGGGCTTAATTTAACGGAAAAATCACATTAAATAAATTTTGAAAAGTACAAGGACTAAATTAAACGAATAAAAATTACGAATAACATTAAATCACGAGAACAATTGGGGAAACGCCTGTGGCATTACCACTAAAACTTACTAAAATTTGTCTATCAAGTACAATTGTAAGCTGAGATCCGACCAAAAAAAAAAGCTAAGTTTTAGTAAAAAGAATTTAGTACATGCAATATTGTTCTTTTTACTTAGACTCTTATATTGCTCAACAAGAGCTCACGGTAGTGCTTGATTTCCTGTTGGTGAGTTACAGATAAAAAAAAATTAGGATAAGTACACTAGAAGTCTTAAAACTTATCACGAAAATACAATTGAGTTCTAAAATTTTCAAAAAATGCAATTAAGTCCCAAAATTTATCAAATTGATGCAATCAAGTATTTCTGTTAACTCCGCCTAATTTGACTAACGAAAAATATTGATGTGGCTTTTTTTTTAATTATTTCTCTCTTCTATGTCGCGCTGACGTGGCTAAAACGACGTTGTTTTGCTGAAAATATAATTTTTAACAAAAATTTAATTTAAATTATATTAAAAATAAGTATAATTTAAAAACAAATTAAAATATAAATAAAAGAGGAAGAAGCAAGTGAGGGCTTGCAGCCTTTTCTGCCGCCGTCGCCCCACCATCCTTGAGCCGGTGATGGTGGGGGAAGGGTTGGCGACCCTCACCCAAGTCTAGTCGAGGGTTGCCATTGTGTGCGATCGGTGAAGGTCGCCAGGCCCGGGCCATCGCCGGCCCGGCGATGATGGGGCCGTGGCGGTGGCCTTCTTCTTTCTCCTTTTTTTTCATTTTTATATATTTTTTAAAAGCATAAGTGTATTGGAAGTCCTAAAACTTGTCATGATAGTGTATTTGAATCCTAAAACTTTCAAAAAGTGCAATCAAGTCCTAAAACTTGTTACAAAAATAAAATCGAATCCTAAAACTTTCAAAAAGTGCATTTAACGGGAGGATTTGATTGGATCAATTTGACAAGTTTTAGAACTTGTTTCCACTTTTTTAAAGTTTTAAGATTCGATTGTACTTTCGTGATAAGTTTTAGGACTTGATTACATTTTTAAAAATATTAAGACTCAATTTCACTTTCGTAACAAGTTTTAAGACTTCCAGTGCACTTATCCCTTTTTCAAATTTTGCTTATTTTTAATATATTTTAAAAAAATATTGAAAAATTAGATTTTGACCAAAGCATCGGCATTTGAGGCTTAAGTTTCATGTTTTAGCCATGTTATCATTACGTAGGAAAGTGAAAATAATTAAAAAAAGTTAATTAAAAAAAGTCACATCAGCATTTTTCGTTAGCCAAGTTTGACGAAATTAACGAAAGGATTTGAATGCACCAATTTGACAAGTTTTAAGACTTAATTGTACTTTTTAAAAGTTATAAAATTCAATTGCACTTTGTGACAAGTTTTAGAACTTCTAGTGCTCTTATCCCAAAAAATATACTGTTTTTTGGCAAACAAAAAAATACTTTAAGAGGTAGCTATTACATACTTTTATTTATGTTTATTTATTTATTTTTTAAGCTATTACATACTTAAAAAGGTCCTCTTTTGAAAATCCCAGTCACGCATCGGGATCAATTGCTGGTGGTTGCTAAAGGTAAGGGTAACGATTTTAACGATGGTTATGGTTGTGGGGGCTACGATTGTTTTGTGGAAAATAAATGATTTGAAAACGTTTTTCATAAAAATTATCATTTATATTGCTTACAAAAATAAAAAAAGATCGAAAAAAATTTTATCGTCAATGAAAATGTTTAGACATAAATTGTTGTTGATAATAAAAATATTTTTCTTTGACTAATTATTTTAAGCAATACAAATGATCATTTTCATGAATATTTTTCAAATCGATCATTTCCAACGGAACAAACGGAGCTTTTATATAAGAAACTTTTACCTGATTTATGATAATTGGATGTTGTGTGTAGCCATCAACTTGGAATATCTCATCGTAACATGAACATCACAAATTCTATAATGAAATTAAATAGACGAGTTAGTAATTCGGTAGCATCAAATAAATGGGGAACTTTGGTTAGCCGCCGCACACAACCATCAAGTGCCAATGTGACACGAGATCAATGCTTTTTCTTCGGTGGTCCAAGAAGAAAAGGTTGTTCGACAAAAAGAAAAGAAAAGAAAATAAAATGTCGTCATTTGAACTCCAATTTGGGTTTCGGTAAAAAAAAAAACACCAATTTGGGTGACTGACAAAAAAAAAACCTCCAATTTGGGTGCACACTTGCTGCGGGTGACGTCGGCGTGCAAGGAAGCGCCAATCGGAATGCAGAGCACCGAGACAGAAAGAGAGAGAGAGAGAGAGCGCCATCATTCGTTGGTAGTTGTTGATTTTGTTGCACTAAATTGGCCCACAAATACTAGTAACTCGTCAGAGAAATTTTTGGGTGTACTTTAGTCTAAAAAGTCCTTATTAATCTCACAAAGGAACATTCCAATCCACATTAGGGTCCACCAAAAATATAATATTTTTTATATTGTGATCGGCCGTGTTCCTATTTCATTTATAGAATTAATCTATCCATTTTTTTTGAGAAAATTTCAAAAATTCTCTCCAACTTTGATGAGATAGAAAGCCTTGAAGTAGATAAATCGTCGCCTAGCCTTAATTCGCTTCGGATCAATTGATTCGAGTAGTCAAAGATGTCGGCTTCTCGATATATTATGGACTGATTAATCTAAATAGTCAGATATGTGAGTCTCATCTAGCGTCCATGGGAATTAAGCATTCAAATCATTAAATATCATGGACTGAGTTTAGACAAGAATTGAACCTTACAACGTTGTCCTTGCAAGTCATGACATTACTTTGAACATTGATGCTATCGAGATGCATCACTCTAGACCTCTCTTTTCATCAAGAAATTATATAGTAAATCTCCATTTGTCCCACTTTTGTTTCTCTTTACCCTCACTAGCAAGAAGTTCCTGTCAAAAAATGTCCACAATACATATGCTTACCTAAAAAAATTTACGAAACACTATCAATATCACCGTTCTCACGTACATACAAGTTTGGGGTCAAGACACATACACATTTTCATACGAAATAACCACCTATTTCTATAGGTATCATTATAAGAGGATGATAAATGATTTGCACCCCTTGCGTAAGGGACACAATATAAGACGATGGCAGATGACAAATTAAGGCCAATTGTGTTAACGAGCCTCATATAGAGTCCACCAAATGTATGTAAGAAGTATGCCTAATTCAATAGAGTAGATGCATATTTACCATCACCCCCTCTCACTAAAAGAAAAAGAAAAATCAGATCCATGCTATAATCTGCTTCTAACTTTGCTACCTCATCGTGCGAGTCATGCACATTCATGCACGCGTATCTCAGTTTTTGCCCCACCCTGGCCCACAACACAATGCATAAATATATGAGAGAGACATAACATAATAGATAAGTCGAAAATAAGGCCGTCGTCTAATCAGAATTCCAAAACGCATCCTGGTCATGGAGTTGCTCAAATTCTGTCTCCCTCTCCGAACTTTCTCACAAGAGGGCTGAAAAAAAACACGTTGCCCACCGTCAGATACGACCTCTCCCCTGACTTTTCAACGCCAGGGATCTTATCAGACCAAATCCTATAAGTACCCGCCAACCTCCATCATTTGTTTGTTGCCACCAAATTTGAAATCCATCTTCTTAAAGTTTACCGAAAAAGCTGCCACACAGATCATCTTACTCTTCACTTCGTCATTTGATATTTAACTCACTTTGCCATGAAAGGATGTTCTTCAAGAGGGAACCGGAACAATGAGAACGACGAAGAAACGGGGAAGAAGAGGGGATTGCGGTCGCGATGCAATCCACCCCGGTACCGAGGGATCCGGCGGCGCCCTTGGGGCAAGTTCGCAGCTGAGATCCGGAACCCCTCGAGGAAAGGCACTCGCCTCTGGCTCGGGACCTTTGAGACGGCGGAGGAGGCCGCCCGCGCCTACGACCAAGCTGCCTTCACCTTCCGAGGCCATCTGGCCATCCTCAACTTCCCCAACGAGCAACAATACTGCGTTCAAATTGACGGCAATGTCACTGGCCACCGCAGTTCTTTCTCGGCGTCCCCATCACTGTCGTCATCGTCATTCTCTTCAGCATGTTCGTCATCATCCGCTGTGTCAGCTCCCGCCGAGTCATCCAGAGATTTGATCGAGTTCGAGTATCTGGACGATAAGTTGTTGGAGGAACTACTGATGTAGGGTAAATGCGGGAAGGCGAGTGCATATTTAGGTTTTCTGAAATTTCATGGATAGAATATTTTTTTGGTTTCTTGTTTCGATCATCTTCATTGGTGAGAGATTTCACTTGTGGAAAGAGATGGCGTGGCATCTCCTTTGCAGGGTTTATGCATATTATGTTTGAATAAATGACATTTGGTAATCTTCAAGACTGCATTTTCACAGCAGGGGCTTAATGTGACTCGGAAATATTGTAATTTGTATGATAACTTCGATCAATATTAGCCAAACAAGTGGCTTATCATACCTATATCTTTCGAAAGTACTTCTCTGAGTACTTGCACTCAATTTAAGCAGTAGTATTCATACAAACACAGATTTCTGGGATACTAAAGTTCTTTCATTTCAATAAACTGTTGCAATATATCTTCGGTTTCTAATGTTAATTACCAATATACAGTTTCTGAAATCATTTCGTAGTAATCTATTCTGGAAGTGCTTCTCTGTATTTGAGGACAGGTTGATGTAAAACCAGGCTGAGCTAAGATTTTGCAGCTTTGAGGTGCAACTATTTGTTTTGTAGCGATTTGGGTGCTCTGAAGCTGAAACAGAACTTTAGTGTTTTCCAAAATTATTGGATTCCTTTTTCTGAATAGGACATGATTCAAATGGCGACCGAGAACTTTGAAAGTTGTTCTTCATGTGGACCTGAATTCTCCAGTCTCGCGTAAGCGGTTTCGCTCCTTCTCCTTTCCAATTTTGGCTGCCTTGAGTTGAATGTGACCCACCTTTCCTTTTTCTTTCCATTTAAACAAGGTTTCACGACATACTATGAAGTATCTTGTTTGTGGTAGCTCCCGCGTCCTCGCGTGACAGAGAGAGAAGAGTAGGGGAAGAGATGGGGACCGCCGTGACACAAAAAGGTGGGGATGAAGAAACAGATGAGCTCGACCAGGGGTGGGCATCGACAACGGGGTGTGGGTCGGATTGGGGTGCCGTGCGGTGATATTCCAATGGTCGTGGGCGGCGCGGGAGGACGGGTTGGCTTGGATTTGCTTAGGGTTTTGGTTTGGTGGTGTCTTGTGGTAAACGGGTTTGGAAGGGTGGCATGGGATAAATTTGACAGGAAAATGACATATTAGCGAGTAGGAGGATGCAATGAGATCCCAAAAGTCACGATGGTTTGTGTAGGTTTTGAAAACTAAGGAGGGTTTTGATCTTTGCGTGTAATAGTGACGTGGGTTTTCGAAGTTCTCCCAACCAATCCGAAGTACCCGTCCATCCCTTCTAGAAACCGATCTAACCCAACTCGAGTTGACTAAGAAAAGTCAACAATTTATAACCGACTTGACAAGTAAACGAAGTAACCCAAATTCGAAGAATCCAACTTGTTCGACCATGAAAGCTCATATAGTATCCTTAAAAAGTAGCGGAGCAATGGTGCAAACGTGCTTCATATACATGAAATTGCAAGCTTAAATTTCTTACATCTATTTTTTTTTTAATTTAGGTATCTCAAAGTAAGAAGTATAACTAATAATCATTGAGAGCTAACTTCAATATCCCAAATGTGAAATAGTATGCGCATTATTAATTTAAAAGAATTGCCCCAATGGTTCAAACTAGAGGCCACTGAAATCAAAATTTATCCTTATCTGAACTTTTCAAAATCTGACATAATATGAAATTAGCAATGTCCCGAATCATATACATTGCATCCGGAAATCAAATAGCATGGAATGAAGTGAATTGGCACTAAATCGAGTTGACCTAGTACTATACTTGAAATTTTGCTAATCGAAATGACTCATATCCAAATAGGATACGAAATCAAAATAAACCGAATCGAAATTGAGCTTCGGCCAGAAGCGACGAGGTTGAGCTTCGGCCGATCTCGCCAGTTGCTGGCAGGGCTGAGCCTCGCCAGCGACGGCGAGGACGACCCCTCTCTGGCAACTGGCGAGGTCGAACCTCACCAAGGGCGGGCAAGGCCAACCTCGCCAACCCCCATTTCTGGCCGGTCGCCGGACCAGCGACTGCCCAGAGGTTTAAAGATGAAGGAAAAAAAAGAAGAAAAGGAAAGGAAAAAGAAAAGAAAAGAAAAAATAAATAAAATTTTTGAAAAAATAAAAAATAATATTAAAAAATTAGTTCGGAGTAAAATTTTCACAGGTATACCAGTTTGAGGTTTTTTGTGGTCAAAAAAATAGTTCGGAGTAAAATTGTCACAGGTGTACCAGTTTGGGATTTTTTGTGGTAAAAAAAATAGTTTGGGGGTGAAATTGTCACAGGTGTATCAGTTTGGAGTTTTTTGTGATAAAAAAAATAGTTTTTGGTAAATTTGTCATGGATATACTAATTTATGATTTTTCGTGGTATTGACCCAATTAATAAATATATAGCTCTTTTCATATTAATAGATGTAGTCTTTGGTCATCTTTCATTTATAGTGAATAATGATGGCGCGAGGGGCAACTCAGTTCGATACAGTGACAGAGAGAGACAGTGATTCTGTCACGTCCCCGAGTGCCACGTTATGAGTGATGAGCGCAAAATGTGTCGGTAAGTAAGTGTCGTTCCACTTCTCTCATCTTTTAAATTATGCAAAGTTAGTTGACACAATTTTGTAAAAATGCCCAAATGACAATCAATGTTTAATCAAAATGCCTTTTTATACTAGAATGAATGAATAGGGTGACATGCTCCATTTTGTCACATTTTTTCATTCCTAGATGGAATGTATAGGTCCATGATGATTTTCAATGTAATTCAAGTAGATTGAATACTCAAGATGTGACAAGTACAATCCCATTTGCCGAAAGTCTATTTTCGATGTATTCAAAGTTATAAACCATGGGATAGGACTTTATGGTTAAAATGGAGCATGACAAAAGACATTTGCATTAAACATTGGTTTCATTCACATTTTCAAGTATATGCTCTTTCAAGGCATAAATGGATTAGAAGTGGCATTTATATTACGTCATAAGAATGCAAATGTACTTTACCTCCATTTTTTTCCGTAAAAGGACATATAATTAAAATGGGGGCATTTAAAATTTGATGTGTAATCCATGGTGATTAATAATGAACTTTTTTGCATAATTAGGCTTGATGGGAAAACTAGACATCTAAATGATTCTCATTCCACGAAAAGAGCTCATGGCTTGGTGGAAGGACATGACAAAAGATAACCAAGTTTATGTTCAAGATAGGTTGTGATACCTTTCAGACTTGATCCATGTGGAACATCAAGTCAGTTTGATCCAAGCATTGGCGCATTTTTGGGAAGTTTCCACCGCCACCTTCCAATTTGGAGAGTATGAATTGACACCAACTTTGGAAGAATATCAAGCCGCCATTGGAATTGATTCCAAGCCTAGGGTCGTAGAGCCACCCGTTAGACTTAATCCCATAAGCATTCTTGCAGAATTCCTTAACCTCAAAGCTTCCAAAATCGAAAAGTTAATCAAGTCAAACACGGTAAATTTCCATTATCTTTTCTAATAGCCAATTTTTCCAAACTTCCTAGGGAAACGGGAAACACTTCGGCTCGGGTTTTCATTCTAGCCTTTTTTGGCTTCGTTCTATTCCCCGTATCTAGAACGGGATTCTACCCTTTAGCTGCAATAATCACGAGGCAAGCATGTCTCAAATGGGATTTCTCTAACATGCTCCTTGCCCAAATCATCATTTCCTTGAACACATATCAAAATCGTGGAAAGGGAATCTTTCAAGCTTATACGGGTCTCCTATCTCTATGGTTCATCTCACATATTTGACCATGGTGCCATTCCATGAGTATTCGTGAGATTTGCCCAATGATAAATTCCATAGAACGATACCTTCGTATTCAACATAAATTGCCCAAGTAATCTTTCTTAGATTGGGCAAACTTCATTAGAGCCTTAACTCTTAATCAAATCCAATGGCGGATCAATTGGCCAAAGATTAGCAAGGCAAGGATTACAAACCAAGAAGGGAACGCAGTACCATTACTCGGGTTGAATGGGGGAGCCGCCTATTGTCCCTTGCGAGTTGTCAGACAATTTGGGATGCTTCAACAAGTCCCACCGGCATGGAACCCTGAGGAGTTTGCTTTTAACATTCCAAGTGGAATTATACCCGAAGAAGAGAAGAAGGACCTTCAAGCCAAGGTTCACAAAATCATCCTTTCTTTGGATAATTCACCTTCACAAGTAGTGGAATGGCCAAAGAACTTAGAAGGAGACATGAAGATTTATATGGCATCCAAGGAATACATCAAATGGATGGAAAATAAACGACCAATTGATATGGAACTATATGTTCCATTGAGCATTATAACGGATCCCGAGGAAGAGTATGTCCCAGAATACATTGTCCCACACGTGCCTAGAGTTGAGCCTTACATCCCTGAAGAAATCGCAATCGATGTCGAAGAATGGGAATCTCGAATCAAGGAATGGAAGGATTACCACGGGGCGGAAGCTACCTTACTTAGCAAGAAGCCTAGACTTGGATGATTTAGAATTCCCATTCGAGTTTAAAATCATTTTGTAAAGCAATCTTGGATTTTATATGAAATACTCATTTTTCAAAATCCGTTTGGATAAATTCAAAGTCATGATTAAAAAAGAGGGATCACCATGGATTATAATTCTTTGAATGGTATGATTACTTGAGAAAAACATTGATGAGAAGTTTTATACAAGGCTAAGGCTTGTGTAAAAGTTCTTATCCTTGTAAATCACAAGAAACCATACAATTAAAAGAATGTGGGTTTTCATATTCATTTCACCAATTCTAATATCCTGATGATTTTCATGAAGACAGGTTTTCACCAATTAAAAGACCCCGAACCCGTTTACAAATTAAAATGGCCAAGGAAGAAACTCGCACTCGACTAGCTGAAGTGGAGAACCAGATGACGCAAATGGCTGCCATGATGGCGGAAATGAAGGCTTTTATTCTCGTATCTCGAGGGTCTTATCCTACTACTCCAAATGTAGGAACTTCAAATGCTACTGAAACACCAGTTGAAGACCTAGTCAGAAACAAAGAACTGGTTCAAGAAAATCCTCCAAAGACTATGCCTGAGATAGTGAATTTGGAAGATGATGATCAAACCAAGAAAGCATCCAAAACAAAAGATGAAGAAGAAGCCAAGAGATTGGCCAAAATTGAAGAATGCTTAGCAAGTCAGGGCTATGAGCTTCAAAGGTTCGACAAGTTCTCGCCATACGCGAAGGTGGTTGTTCCATAAAATTACAAAGAACCAGAGTTCGTGAGCAAGTATGATGGAGCTGGCTGTCCTAAAAGCCATT